TTCCCGTCGTGGCCAACCTCGCGCACGGCAGCGAGCGCGCGTACTACGTTCGTCTAATCTGTTAGCTGCTTGATGGAAAACCAGTCGATTGCATGGGGCGGTAGCTCTGCTATCTGTAAGTTACAGATAGTGTGTAACGTTAGAAATTGATGGAAGAGTTCGTTTGCAACAGTGAGGTGCTAGCGACTTGTGGGTACAGTTTATTTATCTTACTCAACGTATGCAACAACACTGTGTACCATTTATTTATTGGCAGCTATCGGACGGATAGCTCACTCTATCTATCGCCGCCTGTCACGCACCCGCAAGCGCCACAGAACATATAGTCATGGATATGCACGATGTCGCTTCCAAGGTGCAGACGCTCGTTGCGTTGCGCCACTTTGTGGCTGCATTCGACGCGGGCCAGGTAGCCTCCAAGCACGTTCAGCTCCGCGTCACACCGGACTCTGTGGTTGATGTTGCTACGCGCGAGACGCTATTTCTCATCCAGCACAAACAGTACTCGCTGCACCGCCAGCGCACGCTGCTGGACGCACGTAACGAGCTTCCTGTGGCTACATTGCGACTCGGCATGTTCAATCGGACACCGACCTACAGTGCCTATCCTTCGACGGATCACGAGGAGGTAACATTTATTCTGCTACTTGCGCGCTTTCATCATATTTTCCACTAAATTGCTTTTCTTTGATAATTTGTCCAAAGACTCCTTACGCCTTCAAGTTCACCGCTGACGACACCACGGTGCGCTCTGAGTTCACAGATCTGGTCGGCGGCCAGCACTGCACCATCGGCTGCGATCCATCCACGGATGGCAGTGACTCGCTCAACTTTTGGCTCGTGCGCGGCTCGGGCGAGACGACCGACGTACAGCAAATCATCGCCCGACTCAAATATACGCACAAGGACCCTAAGACCCAGGAAGGTCAGAGCGTTGTAGTGGACGTGGCTGCCGGAGTGGATCGCATGATGATGATCCTTATCTGCATCGGCCTACTGGACGAGGGGTTTGAAGATGAGCACACGCAGAAGTAGCTTCGCAGATTGTGGCTCAACACGTACACTCCTTGTTGTACGTGTAATATCCAAATTACAGACTACAGTACTTGTACTTACTTACGTAAGTATTTGTTCCTATCATTTGTTCGCAACACAAGTGGCGGCCTTTGCAGAAGAACTGGAGAGAATTTTCTTTTGTTTCGAGCGAGATCGGACACAGAAAGTTTTACACGTAGCGTCGAGAATTTGGCCACAGCCGCCGTGGTCAATGCCTCTCGGACGAATTGTTGGTTCAATCAAGCATTTAAAAAACAGGCAACCCGAGATGACGAGACCCTTAAATAGCTGGAGTTTTTTAGACATCATGGAGAATAAAACCTGGAGGTACTGGTCGGAATAAGGCAAAAACCCTTTTTCTTTTGACTGAAGTTAACTGGAAGCTCTAACCACAGCATTCAGCGAACGACAAGCAAACCCAAACGAATACCCCTGTCCACGGTTTTTCCGACGGAATGACGAAGTAGTGGAATATTTTTCGAAGAATTTCTGTTCCCGCTACCGGTATTATCGCATACGTTTCCAGCAATAGATACACGCTTCTCGAAAACGTTTAGGGGGTCCCAAATGCTCACAGGACTTTAATTTGAAGCCCCCCCCCCAAAAAAAAAGAAAGGTTTTCGAGAAGCACATAAAATACGAGAGCATTGAGACACTGAAGTCGCCTAAAATGAACGACGTGTTTGACCTGGATGAACCCGTTGAGCTTGATGGAACGCGACTTAACCATTCCAGTTTAAACTATGGTGGGCGTTAACCCTGATAGCCGTCAAGGCAAGAGCCCTCATGATTTTGGAGCAACAAGCGACTCTGAATTTACGCCACCAACCATGGATGAGATCAGCGAAACAGCTTCCTGTAGTATCGGCATTGACTTTGGCCGCTCAAAATGCGAGGCAGCCGTTGTCAGTGACACAGGCAGTGTTATACTGATTCCTCTTGAGCCACGTAGCACTGAAAACTGCTACTCACTATCGAGTTTCGTCTCAATGGGGGTTGCTCACTCGGGAGAAGAAAAAGTAGGACTCCAATCAATTAACCGAGCGAAGGCTGGACATTCGTATACTGTGTACGACCTGACAATGCTGCTTGGGCAGAAGACAGAGACGCTCTCAGCACAAGACGTCGATCGTTGGGCTTTTACTCCTCAAGCTGGAGCTGCTGGCAAAGCTGTCGTGGAATCTCCTGCGAAAGGCAACGTCCCTGATCTAGTGTATCCCGAACAAGTTGCAGCCTTGCTCTTCGCTACGATCAAGAACCGAGCTGAGACTTTCACTGGAAAGCGTGTCACTACTGCTGTGGTGACGGTACCAGCAGCATTTAACCGGACCCAGCGTCAGGCTGTTTGGGACGCCTGCAGAATTGCTAACTTGGACGTCGAGCGGCTCGTTATCTCATCCACGGCGTCTGCTGTCGCCAACGCAGATTCCGTAATTGACGCTGCGGCTGCTGTCTTCGAGAAGACGATAGTTGTGGTGGACTGTGGTGCTGGAAGTTTGAATGTAACATTGGCTCGGGTACGTGAAGCTGACGGACCTTCCTCATCGATTGAAGTCGAGGTTGCAGCTACAGCAGGAAATCTGGAGCTGGGGGGTGAAGCTCTAACGGATCGCCTTTTTGAGCATTTCCACAGTGAGGCGAAGGTAGTCGACACCAGTTCAAAGTCGACAAGTCCAGCATTTTCCAGACGCCTGCGACGTGCGTGTATGTTGGCTCAAAGGATCCTTTCGACTTCACAGCAAGCTGCAATTGATCTGCCTTGGCAGCCTCGACGTACTTGTGGTTCTGGTGCAATCAATGGAGTGATGACAGGGTTCAGTAGCAGCATCTGGCGAGCAGAATTCGAGTCGTTGTGTGGGTCGGAGACGTGGGACTGCTTGCCAAACACCGTTGAGCAAGTTCTCGCGACCGCGAAAGTAAAGAAGGAGGACGTTGATGCGGTCTTGGTCACTGGAGGAGCCATGCAAGTGCCAAAACTCCGTGAAGTTCTCGGAGACTGCTTTGCCGAACACTGGAATCGAATCGTGGATCTACCGAAACATACCGCTGCAATTGGTGCAGCGATGATTGCAGCTCAGAGCAGTGGTCGTGTTTTGAAGAACGAGACCACGCCGTTGTCGCTTGGGATTCGTAGTTCCAGTGGAGATACACTAATTGTAGTGCCTCCTAGCTCGACGGTACCGACGCGACAAGCACAACTGTACTACGCAAGTTGCCAACGGGAGATCAAGTTTGACATTCTGGAAGGGTTAGTTGCGAATCGCACTGCCGGCGCTACTCCGAATAGGCTGGAGCACTGTCTGGGTCGTATTCTTATCGATGGGAGGCGCGCATCTTCCCCTTTCATTCTAAAACTTGAGATCGCGTTCGAGCTGGATGCGACTGGCGAGTTGGAAGTCGTGATCTCGGATAAATCGAATGATCGAGTCACTCGTTTGCTGGTGTCTGGAGATGAAACGTGTCTCCAAGGTGAAGCAATTACGCTCGCCCAAACGTCTTTGGCCGAGGCGCTACACTGTGCTGCTGATTCGGGGAATACGTCCGTGCCGTCGACTGCTTCGTCGGATGATACCTCTACGACTGACGGTAACTCAATCGATACTCTGCGCGCATGCGTGAACAAGCTGAAGCCCCTGGTGATGACAAACGGTCTTAGTGTCTGCATCCCACCGGGGGATCTCTTTCTTCTGCGTTCGAGGATCGAACATGCGAGTGCGTGGCTTGGTCTGCTTGATGCCAGCCACATCTCGAGCCAGGAACTTCTCACCGCGCGGGATTATCTGCGTCAGATCCGCATGCTGCATCTCTCGAGCACTGCAAACAGCGCGTTAGTCCAGTTACGCCAGGAGATGAACCTGTTCAACTGAGTACCACAACAAACCTCGAAGAGTTTGGAGTGACGGAGACGCGTGTTTGCTACAGTACAGTAACGTTAAGTTCATAAGCGCGAGACTACAGCAGAGCAAAAATAACAACACTAAGCAGACCAAAAAAAATTGTACGCTCTGCTTTGTATGTGTGCCACCTGTCTACTCTACGCATGGAGCTCTGTGTTAATGAGCTCCACAAGTTTGTCGAGATCCGCTAGTCCTTTCTTCACCTCGAACGTCTTGAGGTTGCCTAGCTTGGTGTAAAAGTCAACCAATGGGGCCGTCTCTTGGTTATACACTTCCAGTCTCTGTTTCACAGTATCAGGAGAGTCGTCTCGACGCTGTACCAGTGACGCCGAGCCACATGAGTCGCAGATACCCTCCACATTGGGCAGTAGCGGTGGCATGTAGTACTCTCCCTGGTTGATGAAGGCTACGTTGTAGCCCGAGCCGCAATTGGTACACACCCTAGTCACACATCCGCACAAAATTAAGTTTTGTCCACAGATACCAATCTCATTCAACGCTTACTGACCTTCTGCCGCTGATCTTGTCCGAGAGAATCCACTGAGGCAGGTCGATGTTGATCACCAGGTCCAGCTTGGTCACCTGCTGGAAAGCCTCGGCTTGCGGTACATTACGCGGAAATCCGTCCAGGATAAATCCACGCTTGGCGTCGTCCTGCGCCAGCCGCGTCTCCATCATGTCCAGGATAATCTGGTCAGGTACGAGTGCTCCGCTGTTGTTGTAAGCCTTGATCTTGTCTCCGAGCGGCGTATTGGTTTTGATCTCATGACGCACCAAATCCCCCGTCGAGATGGTCGGAATCTGCAGCATGGGAGCGATGCGGGACGCGTACGTGCCTTTGCCCGCGCCTGGGGCCCCAAGGAACATGATCTTAAGAGACTTTGACGCCATGGTTGACGTCCCTGACGTCAGTTGGATTGTGAGCCGGTGATAAAAACGTAATACGGTATGTCACTAAAACGGGGAGTACATGTACATCGCCCGCTTACGAAGCATGTTTGCAGACTAGCTTCAACTTGTGAAGTCCGAAGTTTTTTCGTACATGTACTACAAACGGGTAGTATTAATAGTACTATCAATTGACGATGATAATAATGAAGTATGAAAATGCTGATCTCTCAGACTACAACACGGGGAAGAATCCCCCGAAATCGCCGTCCTCGTCTTCCCCGACGTCGTCAATATCTTCGTCTCCAGAAGAGCCACTGTCACCGTCTTCCGCGTCGTAACCGAGTATTTCGTTGAAGAGATTCATCAGTGCCGGCGGCATGCGGTCGCTAGGGTCGTTCTCGCAGTAGTACTCGTCCTCTGGGGAGTTCCAGAACAAAGCTCTTTCTTTGTCTCGAGGACGCCAGCTCATCGTGAACATGTCGATCTTCGAGAAAGAGTCTCCAGACACGCCATTCACCGAAGCGTTCAGACTGAGCGACGGGTGCATCTCCTTCACGCGATACATCAACGGTCTCAGTTCCTCACGCATGTACTTGGCGCTCCACTGTTTGCTCACTCTCGAATGGTACGGATTGCTTAGAAACACCTCGAATTTCTGCTTGCATGCTGCGGCTCCGAAGTCTTTTTCGCTGATTTGTGCTAGTCGGCGTAACAGTCCCACAACCACTGAGTAGAACATGGGTACGCCAAAGAAGCCGTCCTGCTGGCCTCCGATGCGTAAATCCAGCATCCGCCAATCGTTACTGAAGTAATTTAACTCGAGCACACGGCGCATGTAGTCGAAGATACCATCCCCTGTGCACATTACGGCTGCATTGCTCTCCACTGAGTACAAGTTCTTCAGCTCAGCGAGATTGACCAACGAGGCATCGGTGAACGTTCGAATAGGTCTCACATTCATCACCTCGAAATTGGCGCAGTTTCTAATTGCGAAGCGCTCAAGACGAGGACAGTTTGTAGCCACTGAAGCCCAGAATTCATCACCAAAGCTGTCGATCTTGAAGTGTCGAGCAACCGAGTCGGTGTATTTCTGCAGATCAATTTTGACGGTGAGGTTTTTCAATGCAGGGCAACCTTGAAAGATGGCGGCGACATCTTTCGCGTGTTGTCCGTAACATTCCTGAATTGCTTCGGCAGTGGCAGCTCCACACACCTGGAGATATTCTTTCCAACTCCAGAGCAAGTTGGCAGTGACACTCAGAGTTTCCAACTGCGGCTTCGGATTTGCACCAAAGACGCGGAAAAACGGATCTGCGAAGGGCACGGGTGCAAAGTGGAACTCGCGCAGACCCGTGCAGGCTTTGATGAACTTCTTCCAAGAGTCCAGCGATACCATCCACTTGTCCTCGCAGCGAACACCTTCATAATCATGGAAAGATTTTTTCGAGCCATCCAAATGCTCGACTTTCGGACAGTATTTTGCCACGTTCTCCAGAAATTCTTCAGTGGATTGGTGACGCTCCGCATCATTTCTTGTTGGTACAGTCAATTGCCTCAGCCCTCCACGAGTTCCATTCAAGTGCAGTTGCTTCAATATACCATAAAGCTCCTTGAGCACCGTCTCGATCTTGTCTCCCTTAACAACTTCCTTCAACTCAGTCTTCCGTGGTAACACCAAGCTCTCCAGGTGGAAGCAGTGTCTCCCAGCTGCCTTCAACAGCTCTGGCAAATGTTTACTGTGCAGTGGCACCAGCTTCAGATCCAGGCGTCGAAGTCCCGGCATCTGGGCTAAAAGTGCGTCCCAATCCACTTGCGCCTCCTCTGTTTCCTTGGTTGGCAGCATAACTTTGCTTTCCCCGTAGCCGTCCTTCGGTTCTTTGCCAATCATGACTCTGAGATCGCGTACATCTCCACTCCGAGTCGCGGCTTCACTTTGGACGCCTACAATCTCATCTTTTGCTCCAGTTTTCAGCTGGACTTCCATTGTGTCTTGCTCGTACTGCGTCATCAGTTGCTTAACAGGTTGCAACCAGCCCTTGGACACCATCGCCACGTCTTTCAGGTGCTTTCGAGGGTGAGAGCGCTTCGAGGGGAACATGTCATGCGAGTAATCGTATAAGGCAAACTCCATGACCAGGAAGTAAACGGAGAGCGGCAACGACGGCAGCGAAGAGGGCGGCATGATTGCGAGCGAGAACTTGGTTCGCTTCCATGTCATTTTGGCCGAAAAGATTTGGCGCCAAAACTG